TGTAGGTTCTCTATTTAACCACTCTAGTTTCTGTATCCACTTACTTACCTCTGCCTACTAATTATTTTGACTAATGCTAATGAAAATATGTTATAACTACTAAGTTTTTAAGACAGTTCTTTGGAACCTTTGATCTTGTACTAAACCTTTTAGAATCTTCTGTATTCTATTCTTATAGCTGATCTAATATTACTATAATTAAGACCAACACTAGTATTTAGGACATATTATTAAACTATTATGCCTTTGTAGAGTTTACTCCAATCCTAGTACTTGCTTCACAACATATCTCTACTACTTTGGTACTCAATTTAAGTTCTACTAAGCTGTTATTTCAAATAGTCTGGAAAGGTAAACCATGACTATACTTCTGATTTATATGTTTGCTAGCATGTATTTTTTTTTTCTAAAAATCTGGAAATTCTAATGACCTGGTTGGTTTATCTGGTTTCTTATTAAAAATCAGCATATTTGCTTAGTTTCACAAGTTCTAGCTCTGTTTTATAGATCTAGTCTTTACAGTAGCATTGTCAAAAGTTTGTATTACTTCTCTACTTAGGTCTTTTAAGTATGCTTTTATTTTTTTTTATTTGGTTTCTATGATTTACATAGCCATAAAGATTTATTATAAATTGGCATTGCATAGCATCAGTTTGCATTCCTTTATATAACTACAGACATTATTCCAAAAGACAATATCACATAACTGTTATACAAATTCTATATAATCTGCCAGTTATAGTAGTGTAATATAGTTAACAGATATCTTATTTCAACTAATTGTGAGAAACAGTTAACTATAACACAGAGAGGATTTTCAAATTTTCTGTCAATACTGGAATTTGAACTCTGGACCTGCAACTTGAAATTGACAATCTAACTACTTTACTAGATTGTTGCACCTTTTATTTATAATGTTTTTAATTATATATTATATATAATTTATATAAAAATATATTTAAGTTTTTATATTAATATTTGTTTTTTTTTTTGTTTTTGCTAAGACTAATGTTTATTGGTAGCTATTACTTTTATTATATATTTTTAATTATATATTAATTGTATAACTTGTACAAGATGAGTGTACAACTAGTTACTTGTACAGCTTTTGATTATCTATTTTAAGTAGTCTACTCAAAGGTTCTATTTTTTTTTTTTTTTTAGTATTAAGATGATCTCTTTGGTCTTTTTGACTTTTATTAATCACTTATCGATATTGTGGTTCAATGAACTACTACAGAAGAGCATACAATTAGCTACACATGTAACTTTTCTATATTATCTAATTAAGGAGTCCACTTGAAGATTATTTATCAATTGCTATACCTAATACTCCTGCTTGGATGTTCCACTTTAAATCCTCTGAAACTATAACCTGTGTTAACATCACTAGGTCATACTCAGATGCCCAGATCATCATCTTAACCTTAGGACTAATTTATCCTTGAGGTAAACCCCTCAGAGCATTCTGTACTTATTTTTACAGCTGACCTAGATATCACTATAGCAGAACCAACACTTGTGGTCAGGGCTAACTATTAAACTGCTATACTCTTGTAGAGTTCACTTAGACCCCAACATCTACTTCATAGCATAACCCTGGTACTTTAGTATACCCCTGCCTTTTTCTCTGTTCTTTTATCAAACTTCCAATCCAGATAGTTCATATAGGACTATGACCAGTTTATCAATATATTGGGTTGGCCTGATATTCCTTTTCTCCAGTTTGTTTTAGTGGCCTGGTTGGTGGTACCTCTGAAACTCCTAACCTAAAGATTTTTGCCCATCTGGCTACTAGAATTAGGTACTAGATCTAGGTATTCATTTCACTGAACTAGCCTTTACAGTAGGGCCATCGAAGATTCAGCTATCTCTCTACTCAGGTCTTTTTAAATAAACTTCTTATTATCCAATTTCAATGGATTTACACAGCCACAAAGACTTATTTAGTATTTACACTGCCCAATATGTCAGTTTGCATTTCCCTATATAACTTCAACATTGTACAGATGCCCCATAACTTGCCAGTCATGCTGGTGCAACCACTATTACAGATATTCTAATTCAATCATTAGTAATAGTTGCCATAATACAAATATTACATAGGTAATTATTCAAATTTTTGCTATCGATAGGATTTGAACATCCAACCTACTACTTAAGGGGTTAACAATCTGACTACTTTACTAGATCATTACACCTTTTACTTAAAGGTTCTATACTAACTGCTATACTTATAATTTACTAGGAGATTACCTATTTAAATATTTTAATCTTTATACTATATCAGTCAAATAGTCCTTAGGCTTTTGTACATCTAAGTGCTATTTAACCCAACATGTAACTTTCTTTATTATATATCTGTCAGACCATTACATATTTTAAAGCACATCATCTAACTGTAAGAATTAGAATATCTTCCTGTTAACTAATTTACTTACTTTTTATTTTATTATAAAATATTAACAGTGCATGCTCTTGCAAAGTTTACTCAGACTCCAATACTAACTTTATAGCATATTCTTAGTACTTATAGTATACTTCTGCTTTAATCTTAGACTTCTAATTCAGATAGCTCAATAGGACTATGACTTGTTCTAATATATTAAGTCTGGTCTGATATTCTTTTCTTTTAGTTTAATTTCCAATAGTCTGGTTGATGGTACTCCTCACTTAAAGGTTCTTGTCTATTCAATTTCTCTATATTGGTATTTGTTTTCTAGGTTTAGCTTTTACAGTAGTACTGTTAAAAATTTGTGTTATCTCTTTATTTAGGTCTTTCCAAATAGGCTTTAGTTTTACAGATTTACATGATCAAGAGACTTATCTTAGATTTGTATCATCCAGTACTAGTTTGTATTACTCTGTGTAACAAGATTACACAGATACTCCTGATCTGTTAGTTATGCTAGTATGACCATAGTTACAGATATCTTATCTCAACTGATCAACAGAATGCCATTGCCATAATATGAAATATTATATAGATAATTATTCAAATTTTTGTTATTTATAGGTTTTGAATTCACAACCTACCACTTGGAAAGTTGACAACCTGACTACTTCACTAGGTTGTCACACCTTAATATTTGTTTTTAAATTTAATTTTTATAATAATATTATTAAAAATTTATATTATTTTTTTAATTAGATTTTTTCAAATAGATTTCTGTTTTTTTTTTTAATTTATAAATTTATATAATTATAAAAATTATTTGATATTGGTTTGCATTCTTTTATAAAACTAATATTATACAAATGTCTTATAATCTACCAATTATATTAATATAACTATAATTACAAATATCTTATTTTAACTGTTTAATGAAAAAAATTCTTAAAATACAAATAATTGTTTAAATTTTTATCATTAATAGGTTTTGAACTTACAACTTGCTACTTAATTTATTACTTATACTAAATTATCATACTCTTTTATAATAAAATTAATATAATAATATTAATAAAAGTAAAAAACAGTAAAATACAATTTAAACTAAAAATTAAATATAATAATTCAATAAAAATAAAAAACCAAACACATCTAAAATCACTTGGTATACTATATTATAAATATATTGTAATTATTTTTCAGATGTTATTTAATCAATTATAATATATAAAAATAATATTATAATAATTTTATAATAAAAATAAGCTTTAAACGCTTTGACATACCAGTAACTATCATGTCAGGTTCTCTAAATATACAGTAGATAATAATTATCTATAATGTAAACTAGAAATTTTTGAATTTTATAAACTTGTAAAATTTATTTTTATACTAAATTTATACTAAATTATTGTTTAAAATTTTATTTACAATCTTATCTTTGTATATAAACAAATTAATAAAACAATACAATCAAGTTTTAAACAATTTGTTTATTTTATATCATAACTGGTATATACTGTATATAATTAACTTCATAGTTACGATCTAAAACTTTAATCACGTACTTAAATACTGTTGTATTGATATCAAGCCAAAAATACTGTATATAGTATTGTAAAACGTTAATAATTGAAGACACCATAAAGCGAAATCTTTTTACATCTTATTCTCTATATTATTTTCTAATTACAATGTTATGCGCAAGGTCTATTTTTTTAATTATAGTTATCCGTATAAATTATTCGTGTAACGAATTGAATCACTTGGACCAACTTCTAACGCTAGCATAATATTTTTTGAAATGATATAATTTTTACGTAGAATTAATAACCTTATTTGCTTATTTGCGACATAAACTTTATCACTATTTTATACGTACAATAAAAAACTCCAAAAAGTCACTACAATAATAAAATTTATATTCGGATCCTTTTACCCTAATTTTGATTGACTGATTTTATACACCCTAAAAAATTTTTTTTTTATTTGTTTACAATAGCTTTGGTAAAATAAAAAATTTCCTTTATATTAGCACATATATGTATATATATATATATACCTCTTTCTCGGGTTAAAGACCTACCAACAAAAAAGTTCTTGTAAAAATTATCTTCCACTCGAGTTTCTGGTAAAAATATATCGTTTATATATTTACCGGGGAACCTTTTATCTCTTGTATATATCACTCCCCATTATCCTTCAAAGTTCATAATCGTTTACTTTGTAGGTAAAAAGTACCTTTTTAACGGCCCAAAAAACTTTATCCTTCATTTTTTCAAAACTTCTCGACTTGTTTTTGACATTCTAAGGACATTCCATAACGCGCACCCATACGGAACCGAAAGTTTTACAAAAAGTTTAAATCTGTCTTCAAAAGTGAGTAATTCACGTACTGTTTAGATTCCTTCCTCCAAAAATATGTTGAGTGCGAGAGATTGATTTATTTATCGATAGTTAATAGATAAAATGACGCAATGTATTTTTGGATTTTTTTTATTCTGTTTTGGGTTGAGATCGTTATATTATTATTAAACTCAACGTTTTATTACTGGTTCTTTTTCATACCCCTTTATTATCGTATTCATTGATGTTGGTTTAATAAGATATGGTACATTCACCATTCTCTACAGAATTCTATAATTCTTACCCGGTGGCTCATTCTCACCACGCTATTTCTTCGGTACATCATCTCGATAATATGTCAAAGTCTCCATACAATGGTAGCGATAATTTTTCCAAGAAAAGAAAGCAAGATTTTCAATATCCAATAACCGCAGTACAAGAATGTTATTTACCTCCCAATCAGCAAAAATCACAATTGATATATTCACAACAATCACAGCAACTTAATGTAGCATACCAACAATATACCCCTACCGCTACTATGTTGAATCCGGCTACTTGGAGTGAATATGTTCGTTCAAGTCCTTCGACACCAACAAATTCTCCTTCACGTTCCGACATACAACATAATAGTGGATCTCAAAATGGTGCTTATAACATGGATTATCTTATTTCTGATAATTTATCTGGAAACATGACATTGTCAACTTCTGATAACAATTTTGGATTGGAGAATTTTTATGAAACCTCGATTCCAGTTAATACAACATCAGAATTTTCAAACAGCTATGGATACGGTGATATCACAAACGCGTCCATTGCTGCTTCTGTCGGTAACTCTCCAATATCTAGTCCTGATGCGTGTGGTGATTCATTATGTCATCGTAATCAGGCCAATGATGTTAATGCAACAGAAAGCCACATTGAATCAAGAAAAAACTCTGTTAATGATTTGTCGTATGAGAATCTTCAACCCTTGGATGAGCTAGCCGCAGCAGCAGCAATGATCTCCTGTGGTCGTGATAACAAGACGTACACACCAATAGTAGTTGATTCAATAAGTTCTACGAATGTTAGAAATAACCGTAAACCCCATTTAATGCCCTTGAATATTACAACTAATCCGTCAGATATGTATCGCCTTGGTGACATGTCGACTGAATTTGGATTTGATTCTCTTGCGAGTTCTCCGTCTCCCGCTGTCACTATGCCTCCTACACCAGTTTTTTTTGAACCAGGCTTCCTTGATGGCGTTACTAATCCGACGATTTCTGATAATTTTACTTTCAACTTAAATCCTGAATTAGCAACAGATCAATTGCTTGAAAGCGCTACTACAATCTCACGATCTCATAGTTATGATAATATGTCATCGCCTCAGCACGGTTCCGTTTTTACATCTGAAAAGATAATCGACAACCCGCAAACAATTACTCCAGCTGCTATTACCATTACTCAACCGAACTTTGCACCGATGATTACACAAACTCCGAGCAATCTTGATTTGGAAACTGATTATTTCAGTGTTAAACAACTTTGTCAACAACGTCCTGTTGCTAGAAGTCGTAGAAATAGTTCAGTTAGTAATCCACCAAATATTAAGGCTGAACCACGTACACCTGCCCTTTCACCACCTGAATCTCCTGGCACTTCAATGTCATCTATTAGTTCCTCACCACCATCGCCGTCTCCTCCGCACACACCAACTTACATGCGTAGAGTGTCTATTTCCCCTACCATCATGGAAGAAGAAGAAGATATGATGACTTCATCTGCAAACACCAATAATCTTGCGCTTGTTGTTTCTAATTATGGTACAGATATGTCTTCAAATGTCAATCAGAGGCTTTCTCAGAACGCTACGGTTAATCATATGAGGTTTGTATGATCATTTATAAATATAATTGTAAATCATAATAGTAAATTGTTCTAAATCAATCTATATTTATTATATATAATAGGCCAGTTATTCAACAATACTTGAATTCTACTAATCCAGCTGCGATGGGCGAAAAAACAGTAATGGTCTTGACCTCAAAAGTTGCACAAAAATCTTACGGTACAGAAAAAAGATTCTTGTGCCCCCCACCTACAACATTGATTTTGGGATCAAACTGGTGGTCTCCGCACAATATTGGACATTCACAATCATCCATGACATATAGCCCGCCAAAAATCTCTGTGGGTATTTCTGGTGAACAAGGACATCAACAAGGAATTCTTGAATGCATTAGTTCATCCGGAAATCCTCTTGATCCTAATGCGTGTTCAGAAATGGCTTTCAGCGGAAAATGTGTTTCTAAACATTTATATATTAATGACGCTGATGAAAAACGGAAAAGAGTAGAAGTTCTTGTGAATATTCAAAGCTCTATGGGTCATGATTTCGGAACTTTTGCGAGTAAGCCGATCAAGGTTATTAGCAAACCAAGCAAAAAAAGGCAAAGTGTTAAAAACATGGAATGCAAGTATTTTTTTATTATTTATTTTTATGAGTTCTATTCAATTTTATATAATTTAATAATAATAATTACTGTTTTTACAGTGTGCATTCATCACGGGACTACAATTTCACTTTTTAATCGTATTCGTTCTCAAACAGTATCCACCAAGTATCTTGGTGTTTCAATGCAAAATAACAATCAAACGTTTGGTCCTTGGAATTACAATAATGGTCATATGCAATCAAGTCAAAATGAACAACCCCACCCTTGCTTCGTTGCTCGTACTGGAAGTTGGGATCCATTCATAATTTGGATAGTTGATCCTCGTTATGTAAAGGGTAAAGATGATCATCCTCCTCAGCAGTCAACTAACGCAAATTTCCCCCGCCCACCACCTGCTGCCATTAAATCAAATAATGGGAATCCCATCCCAATTCATTACAACCAACCTATAGTCTTGCAATGCTTAACAACTGGAATGACAAGCCCAACTATGATTATTCGTAAAGTGGACAAAGGTAGCATGGTTATTGGAGGTGGTATTCTTGATTCTAATGGGCATGGTGAAGCTGAAGAAGGTTTGTTACTCATAATTATGATACTTGTTCCTATATATTATTATACAATGATTTTTAAGAAATTATCCTTAAATAGCTTTAGGTGATCCGGTTTCACAACTTCACAAAGTTGCGTTTCAAATTAAGGATTCCAGTTTATCTTCACCTTCAACCTCTCCGACATTTCAATCCCCAAATAATCAACATCTCCCGGGACCTGGTACATATCTCGCTTGTCTAGGCGATGTTGTAGGAATGCAACGTGCGAATGAAGGCCGAAAAATAATAACTCAACCATCGACTGTACCAATTAATACCAATTTCTTGGACATGAAGACCAATTCTCCAATTTCTTCGCCTACCGACATCTCATCTGCAGTTGCAGCTTGGGCATCTCCTACTACAAATTTTTCCATGGATTCAACTACATTACCTGAATCTGCTGTGGTTACTGCTGAAGGTGGAAAAGTTATTCGCAAGCGGCGTGTTTCCTCATCAGTGGTGGTTAGGCCTACTACAACACTATCCAAAGCTGCATTGACAAAGAACAGAAGAAGGGTAAATAGTTTAAGTGGTGTAGCAAGTGAAGTTGATCTTGCGAAATTCGCCAGCGTCAGAAATTCTGTTGGTCATCGGCACCATGATAATGCTGGTGCATTATGGACCGAAGATGTAACCGATGCTGCTGTATGGACGATTGTTGGAACTGGTACGTATAAACGTTAACATTAATCTCAACTTTAGAATTCTTATAAACTATTGACTTCTATTTTATAATAGATTGTGCATCGTATACGTTTTATTCTCCACAAAACTTAATTTCTGGATCAATGAGCCCATCTCATCATCTTTCATCATTATCGCTGCCCATGCCAGTAACTCCATTACCAAGCATTTCAAACATTATTAGCACTACATCATCATCCTGTTCAATTCCTACATCACAACTTCAGCACTCAACAACCCCAAACACTATAACTATATATGGTGATAACTTTACTCGAGATCTGATGGTATGGTTTGGGGATATTCCAAGCCCGAAAACAGAGTTTAGATCTAAAGACTGTCTGGTGTGCTGGTTACCAGAAGAGTTGATGTATGAAATAGAACATAATAATAATATTAAACGGGACATTTCTGGTCTTCAGGGCCGTCATCTTCATTGGATTCCTAACGGAAGGATTAGCATGAGTGGTAGACCAATTTTGTTAAGTCGTAACGATGGTGTAGTGTTTAAAACAGGAAAAGTGTGGCCTTAATTTATTATTTTGTCCAATCTTTAATGAACATATAACGAGCGGGTACTTAAAAACAAAAAACAAAAAAAAAAAAAAACAAAAAAAAAAAAGAAAAAATAGAAAAAATAAGAAAAAAGAGGAAGAAAGGATGAGATTTTATTTCATTGTTGGACGTTTCCTCATTCTCTATTTTCCTTATTTCGTGTCAATTTTCTCTCGATATCGATTTTATTTCTAAAATTCGAACATTTAGTCTTATTATTTTGCGTACCTTCGACTTATTTCACCTCTCGAATATATATATATATTTTTTTTTTTACTTGTGAATACATATATATCTTTTCTTTTTTGTAGTTATTTTTTTCTTAAATTCGTGAGGTTTTTTTTCATACAACACAACACAACGAACCTTTCACAGTACATAATATAAAAATATATGAACCTTGGTTTAATACCAAAATCTATTAAGAGGAAAATCAACTTATTAATAATTTTTATTAATAAGCTTCATAAGTTTATTTTATTTTCTTTGTATATAGTTGTCTACATATCACATCTTTTTCTAAAAAAAAAAATTTTGTCGCAAATACAATATAAATTTGATTTTCTCATTATACACACCGTAATATATGAACAATTTTTAAATACTTATGATTCTGATTTTTTTCAACTTTGAGAAAAAAATCTTGTAAAAAAAAAAATTCATTTTTGCAATTGTTTATACTTGTTTATATTTTTCAATAAAATTGTTAAAATCTATAATAGTTTAGTAAAAAAATACAAATAAAATGTTTAATACCACTTTTTTATTATATTGAAATCTTGTCAAGTGGGAATATTGTTATATTTTTTTATATTAAAATTTTTTATACATGGGGGTGAGTCAGTAGAAACGCGCCATATCATTTTTAATGAAATTTTTTTGAATCTTTAAACAAAAATAACTTAGCAATACTAAATCAAATTTAATAATTTTTTTTTAAATGAATTCTATAAGTTTTTAGGATTGTTTTAAAAAAATTTTTATTAAATTTGATAAAGTTTTTGTTGAGTTATATTTGTTTTAAGTTTTAAAAAAATTTACTTAGAACAAATATAATGCATTTCTACTGCCTTACCCCTACATATAGAAAAATTGAATATACTACGTGATTGCTTAAACTTGCCGGATAACTTACCTAATATTGTTACGTACCGATCACAGTAAGTTCTTTTACTATAAGCTAAGGTAGCTGCGCAGTGTTGTTAAGCGAAATCAAGAACGCAAATTTAAGAATTCTATTTTTTATATATACGTAGCACTAAAACTTTGAGTAAAGTTTTCTTAATGAATAACTAATTAAATTTAGAGAAAATTTTTTTATTTTATTTATAAAATTAAAAAATAAACAAATTTTATTAAATTTGGTTAGATATTTATTAAAAAAGCTTAAATCAAAAGTTTTAGTATTTATAAAAAAAAAAAACTGCAATAAGTTTTTACTTAAAAATACAAATAAAGATTTCTTAGCTATTACCTTATTAAATTTAATAAAAAATTTTTTTTTATAAATTAATAGAATTAAAATAAACCTAATTTTTTCAAATTTGATTATGTTTCTATTGAAAAATTTTAGTTAAAGTTTAAAAAAATTTTTTTTTTTTTTTAAATATTAAGGTAAGTACTTGCGACCCAGGATTTTATTGATAGTACATTTAGCTAATGGTTGC